CCTGGCCATATACATTGGTGCTTAGTGCCTAAACTCAACAGTTACTAGGAAAATAAGCAGTGACTGCTGGTACTTCACCAGATAATTACTCTTTTCCAAGACAAGTGGATAGGCACGTTTACAAAATGCGCCATCACGATGCCTTTCTCTGAAAACACTTGTTTTACTTTGAAAACAACACCTGCTTTCAGAAAAAAAGATTAACCAGGCATGAAAAACAAAGTGACAGTACAGAAGTGGTTGAAAATCCTTCCCTTTCCCAGAAGAGCCATTTGTTCCTGACGTGAGTTCAACCTCTCTGTGTAATTTATGTCACCACTTCTTCTTGACCTCACTGACCACCTCTTATCCTCTCATCCCCTATTCTGCTGTTTTTTCTTCCACTCTCCCATTCTTTTGCTCTTGCGTTTTACCTCAATTCATCTACCAGACCGCCCCCCTGCCCCCTTGCATTATCCTCATCTTTCTCCTCTCCTCCTACCATTCTTGGCCATCCCTTCACCACATCTCTCTGTCATATTTATCTTCACTGCAGTAATGTTGCTGGAGAATGTGCCTCTTGAGGAGATGACAGGAAACAGGAGACAGTGATGTCTGGCTGGTGCTCTGCCTGTTTGCTCTCAGGGAACAGGAAAGGCTCCGCCGAGGGTTTTGACACCTTGAGGATGTGCAGCGAGTGACAGTATGACAAGAGGGGGATGTGTTGGGGGAAGACAAAGGCCAGGACGGGAATATGCCACGGCAACAGTGGTGGTGGCGGCCTTGAGCTTTTTAGAAACAAACAGACGAGACTTGCTTGGAAGTGGAAACGCACGCTCATGTCTCACGTGTGTAGGGCTTTAGCAAAGTGTGTACTGAGGTATTTTAAGCATGTTGACACACACATATACAGTAGGAGCAGCAGTCATGGCGAGTCAATGCCAGCTGGGTTAGTGACAGACATCCTCAGAAAACCTTGGAGGGACCACGCACGCAAGAAAACTGAAATATGCACAGTGTAACACACACATATTCAGATGCATGCGTATTTGTTTCATCCGGCACACGCACAATAATCCCTGAGCTTTGATCAGATGCGGTTCCTGGTCCCTGCTGTCATCATGTTTGTAGTCCAGCTCACAAATCCCACATAGAGAACTTGATGCTGCACCATAACAGCATGTCATCTCTCAATTAGCCTCCGTGCCGCTCTTCATTTTGTTTCCTCACCACTATTAAAAGTCTACTCTGGAATTTGGCAATGCCTACTGTGGGCTTAACCGTAAATTGGCACGGGTGTCATGGTTTGGAAGCTGCCACTGTTCAGGTTTTGGATCCTTGCTCACCAGTATTCAAGTATATTGGTCCTTTAATTGATTCTGTCAGCCCGTGTGCACATTAATGGCATTCATTGCATAACTATTATAAAGCCACATACAGTCAGTCATAAATATTGGGACATCGACACAATTCTAATCTTTTTGGCTCTATACACCACCACAATGGATTTGAAATGAAACGAACAAGATGTGCTTTAACTGCAGACTTTCAGCTTTAATTTGAGGGTATTTACATCCAAATCAGGGTGAACGGTGTAGGAATTACAACAGTTTGTATATGTGCCTACCACTTTTTAAGGGACCAAAAGTAAAAGCCTCTTAACTGCAACAGGTTCCTGCTTGTTCTTGGGGCATATTTCCTCAGTTTTGTCTCAGCAAGTTGAAATGCATGCTTCAATTCGGATTCAGGTCAGGTGATTGACTTGGCCATTGCATAACATTACCACTTCTTTCCCTAAAAAACTCTTTGGGTTGCTTTTGCAGTATGCTTCGGGTCATTGTCATCTGGCACTGTGAAGTGCCGTCCAATGAGTTCTGGAGCATTTGGCTGAATATGAGCAGATAATATTTGCCCAAAACACTTCAGAATTCATCCTGCTGCTTTTGTCAGCAGTCAACATCATCAATAAATACAAGGGAACCAAGTTCCATGGCAGCCCATACATGCCCACGCCATGACATACACCACCATGCTTCACTGATGAGGTGGTATGCTTTGGATCATGAGCAGTTCCTTTCACTCTCCATACTCTTCTCTCCCATCACTCTGGGTACAAGTTGATCTTTGTGTTCATCTGTCCATAGGATGTTGTTCCAGAACTGTGAAGGCTTTTTGATTTGGCAACTTGTAATCTGGCCTTCCTTTTTTGAGGCTCACCAATGGTTTATATCTTGTGGTGAAACCCTCTGTATTCACGCGGTGAAGTCTTCTCTTGATTGTTGACTTTGCACAATACCCTACCTCCTGGAGAGTGTTCTTGATCTGGCCAACTGTTGCTGAAGGGTGTTTTCTTCACCAGGGAAAGAATTCTTCAGTCATCCACCACATGTTGTTTTCCGTGGTCTTCCGGGTTCTTTTGGTGTTGCTGAGCTCACCGGTGCGTTTTTCTTTTTTAAGAATGTTCCAAACAGTTGATTTGACCACCACCTAATGTTTTTGCTATCTCTCTGATGGGTTTGTTTTATTTTTCAGCCAATTATGGCCTTGCTTCACTGATAGTGACAGCTCTTGGATCTCATATTGAGAGTTGACAGCAACAGATTCCAAATGCAAATAGCACACTTGAAATGAACTCTAGACTTTTATATGAATCCTTGTAAATGGGATAAATGGAGGGAATAAACACCCACACCTGGCCACGGAACAGCTGAGCAGCCAATTGTCCCATTACTTTTGGTCCCTTAAAAAGTGGTAGGGCACATATACAAACTGTTGTAATTTCCTACACCGTTCACCTGATGTGGATGTAAATACCCTCAAATTTAAGGTGAAAGTCTGCAAGTTAAACACATCTTGTTCGTTTCATTTCAAATCCATTGTGGTGGTGTATAGAGCCAAAAAGATTAGAATTGTGTCGATGTCCCAATATTTATGGACCTGACTGTATGTGCCATCAGTTACTATCAAAATCATCACAGAGGAGCTCCAAATCCAGATCTGTCTCTAAGCAGTATTGTTTATTCCAAATCCCCCAAACTCCACCTGCGCTCAGAGGAAGCCTGAAGCACAGCTGGTCCATCCAGGGCCCAGATGTATAAAACTGTAGATTCAGACAGAAACATGCATATGCATTTGTTTTTGTCTGGATTATAAAGCCACACGTACCCCTGGCTCTGTTTTATAAATCTCAATCATTGTGGAACTGAGTTGCAAGTGCCCAAGCTTCATTTCCACCAGCTATTTGCATATTGATACTTGGGCCCACTCCACCACTCATTAGAATGTCAATGAGAAGAAGGGGAAAATGAGACAGTTTCGCTGACTGCATCTCATCAGCGACGTTCTCAAACAGCACTAGAACACACGACTGGCTGGGGCTTTTTGTAGCACCCATACCGCTAATTTACCACATGTACCTGTGCACCACCATGATTAACTTACAGAGCTCGTATTAAAACAGACCTTACAAAGTGCTTCACAATTTAGGATGAATAATAAATCTTCCACAGATAATAACCCGTGAATTTCAAGAAGCAACTTGTATATAATTTACTGGAACAAATAACCCAAATGTCTGTGAAGATCCTATTATTTTATGTCACCTGGTTAAATAAATAAATGCTACTTGTTGAGGACTATGAGATCATTTAAAATGTTAATACCTTTCTTCCCAACTTTGCTCCTGTTTGTTTTAAACCTGACGATGTGATGCAGGATGAAATGTGACCTTTATCACCACCAAAAGAGACAGAAAGAAAGAAAGAGATAAACGGATATGACATCTTTTTTTTTTTTACATGGCAGTGTGTAGCGGCTCTGCATTTGGATCGGGTGTCTCTGTGTGTTTACCGGGCAGCCTGCCTCCAGACAGTGCGACTAAGTGGCTGCCTGCACCATCACAGCTTGCCTCGTATTGATCCCCCAACTGCTCTTCTGCTTTCGGCTTTATTGTGTTGTATTGATGTGTTCTCAAATGACTTTCACACACATTGCACGCAGATGTTTGTGCTTTTGAGTGCACGCACACTCAGGCATTTTGAAAACTGCCACACAATCAACATTCAGTACTTACAAACTTTTCTCAGGCTTGTATTCAATTCAGAGGCACTACTCATCTTCCCCCTCTTGGGTGGTATCATACTGCCTAGGTCAAATTAATCAAGCCATGCTGACCTCTGGCAGCAGAGAGAAAGACAGGAAGGGAGGTATTTATGGAGCAGAGGCTAATAATAGAAGGGTCCATCTGCAGAATTGATTTACATGTGTGTGTGTCTCTGTGTCATTTCATTATTTCACATGCAACTTTTCCTTCAAATTCTCAGAACGAATGTAACATGTATGAGTAATCTCAGGCTGCATGCATCCATGTCATAAGATGCCAGAAATGTATATTTTAGGAAAAAAATTATATAAAGGTGCGACACGAAAGGCCTGGCAGGTCCCACACAGCCGAAGCAAAGATTTCTGTGTTGATTAGGTTCAGACTTAATTCACAAGAGGAAGTGTTCAAGAGGTGTTTAACTCAAGACCCCCCTCCTCTCAATTTGCCACAATATTGGGTTACACATTGGGCACAGCTTCAGCTGTACAACCCTGCAAAATCTCAGAGAGTTGCCATATTTATGAGTTATCTCTCACTCTTTTGCTCATTCAAACATTATACTATTATCCCTGTTTATTCATGTAAACTTACATAGGATGTGTCACTGCACAGACACCACAAGAATTGGCAGATTAGTTTGTCTTAAAAATTGCATCAAAGGAGACTTAAGGTATTTAAATCGGATGTTAGCGAGGTATATTATTGCATGCAGTCTTTTTTTAGGAATTAGTGGATGAACAGCAGGTGCTGACATTCCATGCACTGTGCACGATTGCGAGGGCTAAACAACCATGATATATATGTGTGTTGGATCAAGGTTAAGAGTATCTGTGCCTGTGGTTGTCTGTGTTGGTTCATATTTCATGATAAATCCAAACACAAAAGTGCATAGGGTGTAAGACAGAAACCAAAAGGCTCCTCTTTTTGTTTGGATGGGAGTAGGATGAAAGGTAAATGCTGACCTAGTCCGAAAATATACTCTGTATACTTTATATACACAGGTTAGAGACAGTATATTAGATTGCTATTAGGTGATCCTTGTATGGTGGATTTCAGTGTAGTTAAGTTATGATCAAGTTATGCTTCCTTTCTCTGAACATATGGCAACTTTTTTTCTGCAAAAAACTGTTCTTAATATTCCCCCCACATGTGCATAGGTGGTTGTTTGTCCTCTTCCCATCCTGTAGCTCCAACATGTCGCCTTCACCATATGCTCGTCCGGCCACTGTGCAGGTCTGTCAGCTGCTCGGATCAACAGCCCAAGATGAGGAAATCAAATCTCTCACTGGCACTGGTTCACGTGTGTCCCTCCAAGTGCATTCACTAGATGTCAGAGGATTAGCGTAAATTAGACTGGTACACGTGATGGGTGGGATTGCGTTTCAGGTTGTCATGACTTGTCGTCACTATGCAGCAACTATACCGTCATTGTTGTTTTGGAGCGGGAGTTTCACTTTGTTGACATCTTAGCTGGTTGAGTTTCTCCACTATTCCTCTATGTGTATATGGATGCACACACACCTTCGCAGGGTGAAGGTTTCTTTTCTTAGAGTCTGTCATATCAGTGCTTGCTGATAGCGGGGCCACTAGTGGTAACTAGAGGACAAGAGGATAAACAGCATGAGGTCACTGTAGCTGTAAACATCCATCTGTAGCCAGCTGTCTGTTTTTTTTTTTTTACTTGGCAATCATTAGTCAGAGTTCAAACTAGGAAAATCTAGGCTGTCACCTAAATGTCCACAGCCTCGATCACTTACAGTACTATTACTATTTATAACTGTGGGACAAATAGTTTTTGTTTGACTATTCACTACTCGTTTCCTCTTTAAATTTGATTACATGAAACTTTAATGATCTACAGGAGGAAATTGGGTAATTGCAGCAGAAAAATAACAGGCAGCGGTGACGGAAAGGTTCTAAATAACAACAAAGCAAAGTGTAAAACATAATAAGACTGCTCATCATAACACTTCCAGATATGTTTAAATGTATTATGGGTGAAAGTTGGAGGGATGCATGTGCAGTGTGCAAACTGTGCAATAGATCCTTTACTGGCTCTCCTACTACTGGCTTAAATATAACTCTGTTCATGTTATCAGGTAAAGACTATACAAATAAAATGTGTTATAGATGTGTAGATGTCTGCTTTGAAAAATAAAAATAAAAAACAATGCTTTTCAGTTCAGGTATTTTTTTTATTTTTTACTATTTATATCTCTGCAACTATATAAAATGACTTGCATGTAATTTTGAATATAGTGGTTTTATATCTCATTGTCTTCCACTGGCTTTGCTAACAATTGTAAGCAAGAGGCACCTTTCAGTTTCTCAAAAACAAAAACTCCAGTGTTAAACATTCAAATCTTAAAGGCCTTAAACCGGTTACCTTCAATACCAATCAATTTCCAAAGCATACCATTGTTTAAAATGTCCCTTTGATGGAATCACTTGTTTTTATTCATTTCACTACAGCATGAAAATCATCTTGCAGGAATTTTAGTACACAATAAAATTTTCCCTGCTATATTTATAGTTTTTTCGAGGTCAAGTTTTTTAAACTCTTAAACTCTAAATTGGTTTTCAGTCAAATTCCATGCAGACATTTTCTAAACTCAATAAATTACTAAATGTACTTTTCCTTCATCGATTCTCCAAGGAAGGTGCTGGAAACATTAGAAATTCAACATTGGTCTTGAGGACACTGCAGCAGGATAGATATTTCCTCCTATACACGTGAACCCAGACCCTTCAGTGAAGTGCCACTCTAGGCCACCACACCAGTCGGTTTCTCTGAAATACCCCTATATAACCAGAATTAGAGTTGTCAGTATAACATCCTCTGCCATGTCAATCTCTAGCTAACGTCATTCTTAGTGAATTAAAAACAGTGTTCCAGCTTTATCTGCATCATCAGCATTGCTGCTTTGACTTCTTTTACACAACAATTGCAATCATAATCAGTTTGAGCTTTGCTATAGCTTTAGATCAGTGCCGGTTATTTCAAGTTCAGGAGAGATAATGAGTTTGATGAAAAGGCTTTTACTGTTGAGCGTTCTCTATCAATGTGAAGCATCATTAGCTGAAATAGAGGCCTGCCTATTTAGGTGTTGGAAAGAAACTGGTTTTGTACCATTGATCATAACAACTCAGGAACTAAATGTTTTGTATGTGTGCTGCTCTATAAACATACTCGGGCAGTAACGCATTACTTTCCCGAGTATGTAGTAAGAATTAGTGTAACTGATTACTAATACATTTCAGCAATAATATTAGTTATTACAGTTGCAAGACTATATATACTATACTATACTACGATACTATATATCTCTAAATAACAGTAGTGTCTGGTCATCAGTGTGAGCCAGGTGGGCTTTTTATCGAGCCTGTACCTTTTTGGCTGCAGAAAAAATGCTACTTTGAAGCTTTGGCTGCAATTACCGAGCGATAGCCCTGACCTTCACACAGAGGCACCCCTGTGAAGTCTGGATTTTGGGGAGAAAGGATGCAATTACCAATTTTGTGTGGTGTATCAGAAAAGTGATAATACTAGTAGTGTAACTAACTGTTGGCAGGTAGTAAAAAGTGAAATAATAATTACTTTTGTAAAGAGTAACGTGTAATAGGTAATCAATTTCATTAAACAACCCCAACGCTGTCTCTATATAATATTATTTTAACAAGAAAATGTTGTTACAAATAGGAATCACATTGATTTTGCATACCAAAAAAATGACATACCACAACATTATCTTTCTGGATTCCAGCAATATCTTTCAATCATACCTTTGTGTGTCACCACTGACAAAGCAGCAGCAGCAGAGTGCTGGCTGTCCCACAGATTAGTCAACCCTTTTGACATTGCATTGGTCAGTCCTCTTTCGAGCCACACCCCTATGCAAAGATGGGTGGGCTAGTTGCTGGGCTTGGTCTGTATAAAGCCAGACATGCAGGCTCATGTAGTAAACACTTCACACACGATCACATAGAAGGAAAGAGGAACTCTGTACTCCTGGTGCTTGGAAACCCAACTCTCCAACACTCCTCAACAGACACCTGTCAGAATCTGAAATGGCTACCTTCGTGTCGGTGAGTTTTCCATCTCATCAGCATTCAGGTCTGTCAACGGCTCGGCTCAGACTTGCTGACCTCTGCATTGGTGGTCTGTTCTGACCAGTTTTAAGCTTGTGCAACTCTTGAAGTCTTGTGTCATTAATGGGAATTAAGTTACTGAAGGCCGGGAGGAATGTTGAAGAAGAGTCCTTAATGGACTCTAAATTGCACTTAAACACTTTGTACTGCATTTTCTACGAGGAACGTATACTCCAGGGAGGAAAGTAGAACTGGCTTTCCTGTTCAAGAGTTTCATTCTGTACTGGAGTTGGTCTAAGCTTCTTAGTTCAGAAAACAAACAAGCTACCCTCTGTAGCTTGTCTTGCACTTAGGGTCAGCTTATCACTGGGATGATGTGATTGTCTCCAAATTCTTGTCACTTGATCTGATTGTGTTGGAACGTCGGCCAGATGCTACCAAAAAAACTGACTGTGGTGATTACAATAGCAGTTATAGGCTGTTGTTTTTTTAACTGTTTCTGTATGTACCATAGTTGTAAAACTATTTGTGGATGTATCATGTTTTAGATTTGTGCTCCATTAAGATCTTATTCATTGATTACTGATGATTTTACAACACCCTACATGAACTCTGTGACATGCACTGTAGTTTTTCCCAGTCCCAGCCTGGTTACTTGCACTTTACCCTTTTTACTTGGACACAAGACAGTGGAAGGCAAGAGTCTGGGATGCCAATTTTTGTCTTGAATTATGAGGATCTCATGAACTGACAGTTGGGTCTCGTAACTCTCTCAAGTGTCTACATGCTTTTGCCTTATATAGTGTCTTATGCAATCTGTGCCAGGAAATTGCTTATAGTTTGTCACATGAGACAGTAAAGTGTAAACTCTACTAAAGAGCCAAAGCAATTGTGGTTAAGAAAGATTAATGGAGATAAAGTGGAAAAAGTTGTCTGGCGGCTCTTATAGCACCCATACCCTGAATAGGTGAAACTGCATGGCAACAGCCCCGCCTTGCCCTCTCATAGGCTAAGTCAATGCTTCCCATCCTGCTTTAACAACTCAAGTTATTTTCATATCTGTACAAACATTCAAAGGTAAGATAATCTCAGGGATGTTTCGTAGGGCCAATGGGAAGAGCCTCAGCTGTTAGGTGAATCAACTCCTGCCATGAATTTGCTTCCTGGACCCCATTGTGAACTGTTTCTCAGCTGTGAGCAATAGATGTGGATGGCATCTGTGAGTCTTTGGGCTGGCCTGCGTCACCCAGGGCCCATGAGCACTTCTCATTACAGTCCCTTTGCCCGCCACAACCGTGGCTAGTCCTGCTGCCTGTGTCCCGGGAGTCATTCTGTCACTGCAGTCAATGTCGAGACTAAGTCACAACAAACTCCTGTACGTCCCAGAGAAAGACGGACAGCTGGGTTTGATGAAAAATAACTGAAATGACAAAAGGTTCACCCTCCCTCGGTTAGATTCACATTAGTTGGTAGATAGATTGGTATTATATAACAGAAGTTTCAAGGACCTTTTAGAAAAACCTGCAGAATTGTTTTTAAAAAATATTCCAATGGGGATACATTGTATGCCTTCACCTCAAAACCTTGTTATGTATGAGAGGAATATAGATGCAGGGCATGCAATATTAATGAATATGTTCCTTTCTTCTCCTTATCCCAGATGGCCACCTGCCACACTTGCAATACAACATCCAGACACAAAGGAATGAACAGGGAGTTCATAACTAGCCTCGCTAAGACCCACAGCACACCGGGGAGCGGCGGCAAACACAAGACCCCACAGTCTACCAGCAAAGCCAACATGACTACCCCCAAGACTCCCGGAAAAGACAAGACTCCCGTTCATACACCTAGGTAAGTTATTTTAAGGTGGCTGGTATTAATATCCCCTGAGCTAAAAGTTAAGATATAACCCTCCTCGACTAAAGTTGGTAGGTGTCACAGACATCCGAGAGGATGATGTGTCAGGCATGTGAGCATTTGAATGATTATGTTTCTATTTATTCAGCATTAGGACCGCAGCTAGCTGTACGGGTAGTACGTGTTAGTGTACACGCTTACCAGATCATATACTTGTTGACGCCACACTTTAAACCTTTCCTACCAACCAACAAAATCTCAAGTTACTGTATCTTAACTCTTCGTCACTCTCCCTGTTTCTTTCTCCGTCCCTCCAGGTCTTCCTCCTCCTCTAACACTTCGGGGTCAGGCTCATCTTCCTCCAAGCCTCCCTCTAAACCTAAAAATTGGGTTGTCCAGCGTCTCAGCAAGATACTCATGCGAGAGGACACCCAAGGCAGCAAGAAGCGGGGCTTGAAAGATTTTCTTTCCTCACTTTGAGTATTTCCTAAATGCACATTGTCTTTAATGTATACTCTTAAAAAACAAGGGGTTAGACCCATGTTGTGACCTGTTTACACAAAGGCTAGGGGGGAACTTAAGAAAGTGACTTTGGTTTCCGAGCCAGTGTGGGAAGGGTTACAGTTTGCCCACCAACACAACTATTGCTGGGCTGTTTGGAATGGCACTCCTGGTATCCTAAATGCAACAACTGGGAGCACTGGGGTGGCTATTTGAACTGTTAATCGGGGTTACTGCATCTTCTGCTGAGCCAGTCAGAGGAGAATGCTTCTTTTGTGTAATTTAGCACATGCCTCTTATAATCTCCTAAACTGGGGATGCCGTTTTAAGTGGAATGTTTAAGGAATTATTCAATATTTATCAAATGTTGGAAACATCGCAGGAAACCCCAACTTTGTTCTGCGGTGTCATTTGTGGCATGACAAGCTGGTTTGCATGCCGATATCCGTCTCCATTTTGGATATTTTTTTCTTAGGTTTCAATTATACCTTTATATAATAAATATAAAATTATTTCCGATCCATTCTTAACGTTAAAACTTTTGTATTTGCTCACATTATTTTTTTGGCCCTCTCCAGTGGGGAGATGTGTGAATTCGTTTGTTATGGCATTGGCTAAACATGACAGATTGACAAATATATGTATGTTGTTGCCACTGTTGCATTTTTGTAGATGCATACAAATGATTTTGAAACTGTGCATCGTCACCAGTGAAGATATTTGTATTTATTATCTACAATGGGACTCACCAGTTGCTGTTTACATTGAATAGGCACATCTGCCTAAAACCTTATTGACAATCAATGTTGTCAAGACTTTACATTTTATTGTAATATTTTCTTTGGCAATATGTTTTTGTATGGTTAATAATTTCATCTTTTTGTTAAGAGCAGAAATTTAAATGTATCTACTGCATTTTGTACTGCCTGATTACGTACCTTTTCATTAGCTATTAAGTGTATAGTATGTGTTAAAATCCGGAAATACCTCACATTTGTATTTCTCCTACATTGTGATTCTCTGAAATAAAACCATTGCAGTCTGTGAAACTGTGCTGTTTATTCCTAGTGTTTGAGAACATCAGTGCTTGAAACTTTCTTATACTGCAACTTAACTCTCGCAGAGTTTATGTCTGTGCCGCTGCAGATATGGATGTAAAATATGTCATTAATCCAGCTGCATTTACTGAGGATGATTTAAGGAGTCTTTAAACTTAACCTCACTCCCCTGCTAACTTTGCGACTAAGAAACCCAAACTGTGTTAAGTTTAAGACATTAAACATTATTCAAGAAAACTTTTGTGCCAAAGATATAAAATTGAAAATATATACATTATCGTTTAAAGGTTTGGAATCACCTGTTTTACTGATGTTATAATTTTTTTGGAATCAAAGATAAAAACAGTATAATTCAGACCAAATGTATTATTCACATTTGAAATAGTTTCAGCCCCAAAAGAAGTATAATTAAATGAGTAAAACTTCCATTTTGTCAATGTCCCCACAGTGTTGCAGGACAGGGGAGAATACAGTGTAATCATTTTTTACTCCCCAAATAGCCTTTGATTTTAAATCTGTTCCCCAGTCCTGAAACATGGAAGTGACCACAGATTATTATTGAACCACAACGGTGCTTACAATTGGGTTCTAAATATTCTGGGAATCTATTTCTTTTGGGAGCCTCTGCAGTCTACGCAGTTGAATAGGTTTAAACTATGATTTATCAGTCCACAGTATGTTCAGCTGATAGACTGGGGTCCAATTCCAATAGTGCTAACCCTAGACTAACTTTCTGTTTTAAGGTTTTAAGAATAGGTTTACTAAAGCAACACTAATTTCAACTTGTTATAGACATTATTGTGCACTCGACACTGAAACATGAAACAGGAATTTAAATCTGCACAGAATTTGATGCTTTCAGTTTATTTTACCATTGATTTCTTATGTTGTTATTTAACTTTGTCTCTTTTTGCCCTTTGGATGTAATTTGTTAAGAGGACTTTCTACAGCATAAAAGTAGAATAATCTTCTCGGCCATCTGACTGTACAGAAAAAAAGGCAATACTGAACTTTTGAATGGTAGCTTACATAGTAAAATAACACATTGATTTGCATGTAAAACAAAGGTAGGTGCAATTTGGAAATGACAAATCATGAAGAAGTTATCAAGTTGCATAGAGTGTAATTAAAACTGTACAGAAAGGTCCTGTTTTGTGATGTAGGATACATTTTAGTAATAAAGTAATAATAATAGTGAAACTGTTTTTCCAGTGTGAGAATGCGTGAAATAAAGCACTTCATGTGCTACCGCGCATGTCCTGCAGGTGGCGCTGGACTTTAACTAACCAACCCGGCTGCACAGGAAGTACAGCAGCACCAGAGAAATGTTTGCTAGTTAGCAGCTGGTTAGCACGTTGTCCTGTGTGGGGTTTTTACCGAGTAGATAACAAATTAACCTTAAATGCTGCATTATTTATAAGTTAATGACTTTTTTTCGGGGACCCGGCTTGTCGATATCGGGGCAATGTCGGGCAGAAAGCGAGCAAGAGAGAAGGAAGAAAGACGAGAGCACAAGAGACACAAGACATCCAAACAGGATTTGGAGAAACTCAAAACACATTCGAAAAAACTCAACCAAGAAGTCCAAACACTGAAACACGTTGAGACATTGTGAGTAATATTAATAGGAGCTTTCCTGTTTAAGCTCGCAAACTTATGCATGAATTATAAATGTAACTCACCAGTTTAATTTGAGCACAAATACATGATATTTGAGAAGGTAACGTTAGGTTTACCTGTGTTAGACAGATGTGGGAAAGACAGCTGAGTTCGTTAAAGTTAATTCAGCAGTTAAATGAGAATTAACGTCAGTATTATCTGTCTTTCCCACAGTTATGAGAAACCTCCCCCAGGATTCATAAAGGTAACGCCACTCACACTAAAATACACTTAAGTTGATGCCTGGAAGCTTTAAACAATCTTCATTTTTACTCGAGGAAATGTTGAGAAGTGACAGTTGCTGTTGCAGGAGCATGAGGACAAACCAGAGGACTGTATTCCTGCTGAACCAGGAAATGAAGAGGCCAGGAGCTTCCTGGCAAACGCCCCCACCAGGGGACTGTGGATGCCCCTGGGGAAGGAGGTGAAGGTGATGCAGTGTGAGTTACAGTTATTCAGCGATTTCAGCTGCGCTTTGCAATGAGAGAGAGAGAACTTATAACTGTTGTATGTGCAAGATCGAGGCCCTAACTGGATATTCCTCGAACCCCTGGCTCTTTATTTATACACTTGTATAGTGTATATTGTAAAGAACACTATACTAAGATACGGCCCATTGCTGTAACTTTTATGTGACTTTTTTTTCTTTGACCTTTTGATACTTTTTTGATTTTGACATCTTTCATTTCCATTTGCCAGTGTTGTTATTTAGTCTCATCATCTCAATTTTACATGTGTTTGTAGTTAAAACACCTGCCTAAATGTTCTTAGATAAGTACTTCACGATACACGCTCTTTGTAATTCCTGAAAACAACTTAAATTGCCTGATGTTTAATACAGTTAGATGTGTGCTTTTAACCTTTAAATTAACTACTGGAACTCCAGAAAGAGTTGCTGGGTTCTTGCAATGAAAACAATATGCAGGGCGTCTTCTCATAGTTACATTTATTCCTCTTATTCTTTCTAATTATAATTTAAAAGCTCTTAAAGGTCTTAACCTGTGCTGACACAATTTGGAGACGCCGTTACAAATAAAGATGATCATCAGCTAATGAAGTAACAGCAGCACTTATAGTTCAAGAACTGTAGGTGGGAGTAAACGCGTGGGCAGCGGTCTTGATAGGTGATACATGTACCCACAAGTACTTTGCAATTAACACCACGTTCCATCATTTCTCTGACAAACATGAAGGGCTAGAGATTAATAATGGTGTTGTGGACGCTACCTTCTGTCCTTTTGGTCAGACAAAGGCTAGCATTATATTCAGTGTCCCTTCATTCCTTCGTCCCACTCCTTTTCATGCAGCATTAACAGCCGGGGACTTAGGGAGTCGGCACACACACATATACACACTGTCCACGAGTTGGCATTTGTTCTGCAGAATCTGAGCATGACTCGCTCAGCTTAATCCTTTGAGAAAATGTCCCAGTATGTCGTCCTGTTTAAAGGAACGGGGAGACGTCACAGTGAATGATATGGACGTGAAAAACCTGAGTAAACGCTTGTGCACACAACTAGTTTTAGAGGACAAACAGCATTTGTGTGGTCTCACTGTACAAAGACTCGAGTTATTCATGGTAGCAACACTGCCACTTAAAGTGTAGACCATTAAAACAGTGTGAAATATTGCCACAACTTCTTTTCAGTGAAGCACGAGTGATGATTTATGATTTTTTCGAGAAGGTCTGTCTTTTATTATGAGGCATACATTTTGCAACACATCACCACAGGAGCAGCGCTGTTTGAGTCTGTGACTCCAAGATGCTTCTGTTGGTTTTTTGAATCGCACAAACAAAAGGAAACATTTTTCCTTTACCCTAAATGAATGTATTGTATGGGCCTGTGTGTTCCTGTAAAGGTTGGGGGTCGGAAAGACACTACAGTCAAATAAAAACCCTAAAAAACATTAGTAGTTTGGCAAAATAATCTTAACTAAAGTTCACTTACTAGCTTTTTCCAGAGCTTTCAGATGCAAATCAGTGAGCATAGGTATTTCTTAATTGACATTGAGTTTGTCCAGTTGGCAGTTTATCTATATGTGTGTATGGTTGCATATGACAACTGAACTTACTCCATAACAACACTGTTTTCAAGATGAAGGCTGTACAATGCGGTTGAAAGCTTGAGAAAGAGCCAGTAAGTGCACCTTGAAACTGCTGTTTCCAAGGTCAAGAATGTACTCTTGTGCCCATATTTGATCTATATTTTTAATGCTAAATCTGAAATTATGCACCCGTTAAGTCAAGTACACAGAATGATATTTGTTTCCTTTGCCGCAGGTTGGAGATGCAAGCGCTATGGCCACAGGACAGGAGACAGGGAGTGTCCATTCTTCATCAAAGGCAACCAGAAACTGGAGCAGTTCAGAGTGGTGAGAAAAGGAGCCCACCCATAGTTATTTAGAGAAGATATCAAATAATAGTCTACAGTTAAGGAATGTAGGTTGGCTTGGTGGTAAGGTCAAGGAGCTGCGACAGTAACAAGTATGTCTGTGACCTTCTGCTGAGGTTAACAACAGAGTTGGGACACATTTAGTTTACACTGGGGAACATGTGGGCAGCAGACTTCTTCATACAGCCGCTTCCAGTGCGCCCTGTAATGGAATAATATCTACTGTAGGCAGGGACGCAGCCTCTGCAGTGATTACCATAAATGCAACTGTATCATATTTTCCTACGTTGTATTGTCACAAGGAGGTTTTTAAAAATGCTGACATAACACTAGAATCAGTACAATGGCTGGGATGTGTTGAGTGGGGATAATTTCCCAGGTATGACGTGAATAGAGCTACTCTCACTGTAAGTAGGAATGATTTTTATTTTCCTTTCTTCATAGTAAGTAATGACAGATTGTGCTGCATTCTTTTAGGCTCATGAAGACCCAATGTACGACATCATTCGGGAAAACAAAAGGAATGAAAAAGAAACCAGGTAATATACATTCTTTTGTTTTTTTTCAGATTTGTATGTCGTTTACATCCTTTGCTGCAATTCCCCTGAATCAGTCAGGTTTTCTAAACTTTTAATAGTTTGAAAAGACAGTTTTGAGGCTGCTGTCAGACAGTTAGATCAAACACTTGAGAACCTGCAGTTTTTGACTGCTTTCCCTCAGCGGACTGGGACAATCTCAGATGACCTGGAAATTCTCTCATGGTGGCTGGTTCTCTGTGCCGGTTTCTAGCAAATAGTGTTTGACACCAGGATGTTTGAATTTGAGGTTACTATGGAAGGCTCACTGTAGGTGTGTGTGTGCATACACACACGTGCAGAGCAGCAGCAGCACATGCACGCTTGTGTGTGTTTTTGCATGCATTACGAAAAGGTTATTCAA